AAGACGAAAGAACAAATGCTAGTATTCTCGCTGACACCAACTGTAGAAGCATGACGCTACCATTATCCATGAACACCTACGTTGGACTGGCCATGTTACCCGCATGGACAACAGTACACGACCAAAGCAGCTACGTTACAGTCACCTAACGAATGGTAACCGTAAAGCTGGTGGACAACGGGAAAGGTATAAGGATAGTCTTAAGACAAACGTGAAAAAGTGCCAAATCGAGCCCTTCACCTGGGAGACGATCACTTCACACCATAACGCTTGGAGGAGCATGACACGAGAAGGTGTCAATACTTTCGAGTTAGCGTGACTGCAAACCGAGGCAGACAAACGCCAGCGCCGGAAAGACGCTGGCGCCGCCCCTATCGTACTAGATGTACCCCTTCACGTGTGCGACATCTGTGGACAATCCTGCTGGTCCCGTATCGGCCTCTCGAGTCACCTCAAAGCTCACCAACGAAGGTGACTTATCATTGCATCATAAATGGATAATCGTCATACTTGTTCCCGAGTGACAGCAAAGTAGTAGTAGTAGTAGTAGTAAGTGAGGCCAAATAACAAAGGATGGCCAAAGACACCTAGGCGCACTTATCAGCACGATGGACTTCAAGACCGAGTACGTAACAGGAAAGGTGAATGAGTGGGTCAGGGAAATCCAAGCTCTGTCTGATATTGCTAACAACAGAGCCACATGCGGCTTTTGCGGCATTCACCCATGGAGTCAAGCATCGCTGGAACTACCTGATGTGCACTATCCCTGATATCGGACCCCTCCTCCACCCTCTGGAAGAAGCTATCAACGTCAATTTCATTCCCAAATTAGTGAAACATCTTCACTTAACCCCGACAGAAACATCACTCCTTGCACTACCACCGAGACTGGGAGGAATGGGATTGACCAATCCAGAGGAGATTGCTGCCACCGAACATCAAAACTCAGTTAAGCTTACGGCAGCCCTCACTGACCACATAATAGCTCAGAATGCAACAGGTAAGGTGGATACCATGAAGTAAACAAGATTCGACAGTCCATTACGAGAGAACGACAGCACGGCCAAAGTGATAAGTTGCAGCAACTGATGCTGCAAGTACCAGAGAATTTGAAAAAAACTTAGCTATAACGCAGGAGGTGGGCGCCTCGAACTGGTTAACTACGTTACCGATAAGGGCAAATGATTTCAGTCTCAATAAACAGGAATTTACAGATGCCATTGCTCTAAGGTGCGGTAGGCCAGTAGAAGGTTTGCCCTCCCAATGCATGTGTGGCTCTTCCTATGACGTCGATCACGCCATGGTATGCAAGAAATGGGGCTTCATATGTATGAGGCCTGACGAAGTAAGGGATCTCAGCAAATAGGTTGAAGGAAATCTGCTGTGATGTCAGGATAGAACCGACCCTCCCTCCATTGGACGGTGAGAATTTCCAACATAGGACTTCGAACACATCCAACGAGCCCCGTGTTGACGCCAGTGCTCGAGGATTCTGGACTCAGGGACAGCGAGCCTTCTTTGACATCAAGATTTTTTATCCCATGGCCGCATGTCACCGTAACTTAGCTATCGATGCTGCACACAGGAGGAACGAGAACGACAAGATAAGGGCTACGGCCAGAGAATTCAGAACGTTGATCAAGGCAGCTTCACTCCTCTGGTGATCACAACCTCTGGTGGGATGAAACCAAGTGCAAGATGCTTCTATGCCAGAGTCGCGGAGGTGCTGTCCGAACAGAAGCAGCAGCCCAGAAGTTATGTTACAGCCTGGATGAGATGTCGACTGCCCTTCTCTCTCCTTAGGTCTGCTTTGCTCTGCCTCAAGGGAACGAGAACATCGGCCCCAAAGCCGACAACAGTTGCAGATATTGACTATGAGGTAACAGTCACTGAATGCCGCATACAGTAGATCTGCGGCTCAACTAACTCAACACAACTAGGATAGCTACTGATGGATTAGGATATTTAATTTTAAGGTAATAAAATGGCGGCGAAGGTGTGGCTCTTGGGGGAGGATGGAGGCCATGTAAAAAAAAAAAAAAGTAGTAGTAGTAGTAGTAGTAATAGTAGTGCGTGTGTGTGTGTGTTTGTTTGTATTTGATTGCGCCACACATGGTGGTGTAATGCAACTAGTGTGGCAGTACTATGTTAGTGTTAAGGTGTAAGCACTGCTTGCTCCCTCGCGCTTCCATCTGCCACCGCTGACTAGCCCTCGTGGCGAACAGGGCAGCAACTTGCATAAGTCGTCCCCTGCCAGTTCAGAGCCTCTTCACCATCAAGTCTTCTGTGCTTCATCGTGGCAACACGCGATAACTGGGTGCTTCGTGGGCCCAGGCTAGACCAGCAGGGGATCTCGAAGTAGCAGTGGGCCCCAGAGGGAAGGCCCATAGGCTCACTGGCATGTGGACACGTTCGGGAGCCTACCAACCATTGTTGCCCGCTGCCTTACGGATTATCCTCGGTTGGCTATGGGAGTAAGCCCCTGAAAGAAAAATCTGAAGGTGGTGCCCCGCATTAGGCAGACATGCTTACAGAGCTATAAAAAAGCCCCCAAAGGCGGTATAGGCGGAAGAGTTGACCACCATGGAAACCCAACGACTATGTCGGCAGACGAAGGCAATGCCTGATGGAGAGGCTACTAAGGCGAAACCCAACAAACTGGGCTATCGGCAGTCCATTGCAACTCTCCCTCTCCCCAGTCGTTCCAACACTTGCGTCACTGGATCAGGAAAATGGAGAGCCAAGATGTGTGGTTGCAGCCTGCGATCCTGCCTCATCACATAAATCAACTCAAGCGCAGTCATCATCCAGTTCATCATACTTTTCATCATTATAAAAAACCCCTATAGCCCAAAAAGTCCTATGGCGACGGATGAGTGGCGACGGAGACAGACAGAGATGACTCCCGGGAGTATCTAGTCACAACTATGCACATGGGCGGCACAGATAAGGTGGTCGTTTATGCACTGCTATCTAGGCAGCAGTGCAATCTGATCCTTTCTCTGCGACTAAGCAGCCCTTTCAAGGAGCCACTCTGCTCACCCCACTTGGGGAGGGGGCTAGAAAATGTGCCCTAAACAATACCTGACTAAAAACCCTACCTGACTGGGCAACCGCACCCAGTAAGGTCATCCTTATGCAGTCGAAAACACAGATAAAATCAGGACCCTTCTGGATACTGACACAAATGAGCGTCCTGAAAGAAGAACTGCCCATGTGGCAAAACAGCTGGCTAGGTATAACATCGACATAGCAGCCATCAGTGAGTCCCGGCTCCCAGATGAGGGCCAGCTTACAGAACAGGGTCTGGCTATACCTTCTTCTGGAAGAGTAAGCCTGCTGCAGAGACAAACAGCATTTATGGAGTTGGCTTTGCCATCTGCCAACGCATCCTACACAGGCTAACTGAAATGTCTATAGGGATCAATGAGCTGCTCATAACGCTTCGGGTCCCACTGAATCAATCACGTCATGCCTTTTTCATCAGTGCATACGCCCCAACACTAGATGCAGAGGATGTCATCAAGGAGACCTTTTACACCGACCTTGACCGTGCTAACCTCTATCCCCAGAGAAGACAAGGTTGTGCCACTTGGCGACTCCAATGCCAGAGTTGGCAGAGATGCTAGCATTTGGCAGGGATCCATAGGGAGAAATGGACTAGGCTACTGCCAACGACCTACTCCTCCTCCTGTGCTGCGCACAGCCTCACTATCACCAATACCTGGTTTCGGCAGGCCGACAAGTTCAAGAGTTCGTGGCAACACCCACGATCTAAACACTGGCATCTCATTGACTACATCTTTGTCTGAGAAAGAGATTGCCGAGATGTCCTCATCACCCGTGCCATGCGTGGCTCAGACCACTGTGACACTGATTATCGACTTGTCAGAGCCAAGCTCTCGTTTCACGTCGCCCCAAAACGGTGACGGCAGCAAGCGTCCAGAAGAGGTTTTATTACTAAGCGTTTGAGGTACCCAGCAGTAGCACATGCTTTCAGAGAGCAGCTCGAACATGGGCTTATAAACAACCCAACAGCAAACAACGCGAATCTCAGTGCCGAATGGGATACTCTCAACACTGTTATGACAAAAACCTACAGAGAGACCCTAGGTCAGATCAAAACAATACACCAAGATTGGTTTGATGAAAATGACTCGGCAATCAAAGTACTCATCGATGAAAAACGTGCTGATTTTACTGACTGGCAAAACAACCCTCAGTCTCAGACCAAAGCTGATTCCTTCCGCAAGAAGAAAGCAGCAGCCCAGCAGGAACTTCGAATTCTAAAGAATGACTGGTTTTAAAAAAAAGCATGTGAAATACAAAAACATGCAGATAAGCACAAGATGTGCGAATTTTTCAATTTCATTAAAATATTTTATGGGCCAACCACTCGTGGCGCAGTCCCCCTTCACTCATCTGACGGTAACTTTACAATTGAAGACGATGAAGGCCTTCTTCAGCGCTGGAAAGTGCACTACCATATATTGTTCAACCGAAACACCGATGTGGATGTCCTGACTACCCAGCAGGTCCCTCGGCATCCAGAGCTGACCCACCTCAGCTATCCTCTATCTCTGGATTAGGTAGTTACTGCCACCAAACACATGAAAAATACCAAAGCCTCAGGGCTTGGTGGAATCCCAGCCGAAGTGTATAAAGCAGGGGGACCTCTGCTTACCAGCCATCTCCACTCTCTCCTGGAGAATATATGGGAAAAGGAGGAAAACCCCCAAGCTCTTAAAGATGCTTCAATTATCAATATTTATAAGAACAAGGGAGATCGGTCAGACTGTGGCAACTACCATGGGATCTCGCTGCTATCCGTAGCTGGCAAGATTATCGCCGAAGTCTTTCTAAACAGATTCCTTCCTGAGGTGGAAAACTTCCTCCCAGAATCTCAATGTGGTTCTAGACCATCACGAGGCACCACTGACATGATCTTTGCTGCCCGCCAGATACGGGAAAAGTGCAGAAAACAGCATTGTGACCTGAACATGGCTTTCATCGACCTAACCATGGCCTCTGGTGGACCCTTTGCTGTTTTGGCTTCCCACCAAAATTCATCACTAATGTGAGGTAACTCTACGATACCATGAACGGCAGTGTGCTGCACAACGGCACCCAGTCTGAGTTCTCTCCCATCCAAACGGGGATTTTACAAGGGTGTATACTGGCACCAACTCTCTTTTTCATTTTCTTGGCTGCCTTCCTTACTCGTGCCAGTGCCAATTTAGCCGGCAGGGTGGACATCGAGTACCGGGGGAAGCAGGATCTTTTCAACATAAGACGATTCCAGGCAAGAACAAAGGTGTCGGTAGCTTTTATTACTGAACTTCAGTATGCAGACGACCTCACTTGTTGCTCACACTGAACACGACCTACAGGAGATCCTAAACACCTACGCAGATGCGTATGCGCACTTCGGCCTTGAGGTGAATGTGCGTAAGACTCAGATTCCCTTTCAACCTGCCCCAGGTTCAGACACACCTCCACTATCCATCCAGCTTAACGGTACTACCCTCTCTAATGTTACCCACTTTAGGTATCTTGGCTCCGACCTGTCCACCACCGTAGATATCGATGAAGAGAATCAGCACCGGATCAGATGTGCATCTCAAGCCTTTGGCGGACTCCAAAACCGTGTCTTCAGCTGTAGGGAGCTGAAATTATCTACAAAGTTGCATGTATATCGAGCAGTGGAGTGGTTCTCCAAACCCTGTTATATTGTGAGACATGGGTCACATGCAAGCTGCACCTCAAGGCACTTGAAAACTTTCACCAACGTAGTCTTCGTTCCATCCTCCAAGTTTCCTGGGAAGACAAGAGAACAAATGCCAGTACTCTTGCTGACACCAACTGCAGGAGCATCGAGGCTACCATTATCCATGAACAGCTATGCTGGACTGGCCATGTTACCCACATGGATGACAGTAGACTGCCAAAGTAGCTACTCTACAGTCACATAACAAATAATAAACGTAACGCCAGCGGGCAATTGAAAAGGTACAAGGATATTCTTAAGACAAATCTGAAAAAGTGCCAAATCGACCCCCTCACCTGGGAGTCGATTACTCCACATCGTAACGCTTGTAGGATTACCATATAAGGTGTCAATACTTTTGAGTTAGCCCAACTACAAACCGAGGCAGACAAACGCCAACGTAGGAAAGACGCTGCCACCTCCCTTCCCGCACTCGATACAGCCTTCCACATGTGCAACGAATGTGGTCAAAGCTGTGGGTCCCCTATCGGCCTCTTTAGTCTCCTCAAAACTCACCAACCTAGGTGACATCCCTAATAACTCATATCATTGTATCATAGCTGGATGATTGTCATACTCGATTCCGAGTAATAGCAAAGTGAATGTGTGTGTGTCTGTGTGTGTGTGTGTGTGTGTGTGTGTGTGTGTGTGTGTGTGTGTGTGTGTGTGTGTGTGTGTGTGTGTGTGTGTGTAACTTCTGCATCTCTTAACTTCGGTTGTTTCTTCTCTGTTCACAGTTTCGATGTGCGTAGTGGCCCTGCTAACCACTGGAAGAATCCCTCACACCTCGGTAGCCGCGCCAACTTCCACCCTACTACCGCCTCCCTCACCCTCCAGCACGTCCAGGCCGACGACCAAGGAACTTACCGCTGCAGGGTCGACTTCAGGATCAATCCCACCCTCACCTTCACCACCAACCTCACGGTCATTGGTAAGTACTCACCTTTAATCTCCTCCTCCTCCTCTTTCTCTTCTCCTCATTCCCTTCCTTCTCCTCCTCCTCCTTGCCTTCACCACCACCACCAACCTCAATCACTGGCGAATTACTGCCTCACCAGCAAAGGTCTTTAAGCACGTTCAGTAAATCAGCTTTACACTAGACAGCTGCTAAAGATTAAGTGTTTCACTCTCAACCACCTTCCTAATTCTCTAAAAATAGTGCTTACCTAGTGTAGAAACTGACTTAGCGTTCTGCGTTCAACTGCGTTAATAGGCATCACCTGAAGATTAGCTCCTAACTTATTTCACCATAACGCTAACCTAATCTAACCTAACCTAACTTAACCTTCCATGGCAGAGTTAGGCTGTTTAAACATCAGGTAAAATAAAATTGGTGAGGGCAATCTACAGGTGATCCTTTAATGCACTGTACTAATATTAACAACAACAAGAACAACAACAACACCTCCCTCAACCTCCCGCAACCTACCAGTCTTCCCTCGAGCTGCGAAAAGTACAGCACACAATACAGTACCATGTATACAAGACACGTGTACCACATGTTAAACAGTATGCACTAGGCACGTGGATAACAGACACCATATATACAGGGACACATGGATATAACACAATCTATGTATTCAACTGTCCCAAACTTATTAAGAAATATAAGATTATTTGTCAACACAACCAAGAAAATATGTATATCACCAAAACACTAAACATTTAAAGTGTGTGTGTGTGTGTGAGAGAGAGAGAGAGGTTAAACTCTCTCACTAGTTATTATTGAAGGATTTATAAAAGAATATTTTTATCCCATTTTCTTCTCAATTTCAATCTATGTTTGTCTGTGTTCTGAGATTTGGGTTTAGGTTAGGTTAGATTAATTTAGTTTTGGATAGGGAACTTACTAAAAGTTAGAATAGGTTCATTTCAGTTAGGTTAGGTTAAATTTGTATCTTTCTAATTGTGTAACGCTGATCCCCTGAGTACAGTGAATTAGCTTAGTGAGTAAGGAATCTCATTTTGAGTACGTTTACATAGCTACTTGAGTACTGTCTTGATTTCTTGAGTACGATGACAATCTCTTATGTATGATGACTTGAGTATGATGAGTTGATCTCATGTATAATACTTTCTTTTCTTGTGTACGACAACTTAATTTCTTGTGTACGAGAACTTGATTTCTTAAGGCCCCGACAGGTTTAACATTGGTATTGTCAGTCAGTCAAGTTTGATATTTCTAGAGGTAAATGACAATTTTAAAAAAATCACTAACCCATCTTAAAAGTAGTTTTTAACACTGTTCTTCTTACTTGTCTCCCTCAGTACCCCCGAGCCGTCTAGGAGTGTACACAGAGCTGGGTGTCGAGGCTCGCAACATCGTGGGTCCCTTCACAGAGGGCGACATACTCCGCCTCGCCTGCCGCGTCATGGGAGGGTCACCGCCCCCAACCGTGACTTGGTGGGAGGGTCCGGTGCTCCTAGACATGACCCATGAGGTGGAGACACTGGATCAGGTCACCAACACGCTTGTAGTGCCCTCGCTGACCCGCCGTGACCTACATCGTTCAGTGACCTGCCAGGCGGCCAACTCCAACCTGACAGCGCCTCTCTCCACCACCGTCTCACTCGACATGAAGTGTAAATAATTTATTTCTCTGGCAATATACTCCTGCGGCACATGAAGTCCTCAGTTTGTCAGGAAATGAACTTTAAATCTGAGTCTTTCATGAAAGTCTCTTTAATATTTTATTGGTGGTGCTTTATTGGGCTTATGAAATATATATGGATCCTCGTGTTTCGAAGCCGGATTTGGTAAAACGTTACTCTGACCACCTACGTGATCCGGGTAGTCCCCATTAGAGGTTCACGGCGCCATAAGCTCATTGAACAGGCTTTGTGTGAAAAATAACAGAGTCTAGGACTGCTTTTAGTATCCTGGTGGGCCAGAGGTAGCGTTCCCCGGTCACAGTCGTGGGCTCGTGGGCCGTGGGTTCGATTCCTGGCTGGTGAGGTCGTTGATTATATGTTCAAAGTCCGCGTGTTATATGGACTAAAAATGAAGTATATATATGGTACCTCGTGTTTCATACCAGCTGGATTTGGTAAAATGCTACTGACACCACATACGAGGCACGGGCAGTTTCCCAATGAGGTTCACGGCGCCATCAGCTCCATGAACAGGCTTTGTGTGAAATATAACAGAGTCTAGGACTGCTTTTAATGTCCTTGTGGGTTGGTCGGTAAGCGTTCCCTAGTCCCACCCAGTAGGTCGAGGGTTCGATTCCTGGCTGGTGAGGTCGTTGATTATATGTTCAAAGTCCGCGTGTTATATGGACTAAAAATGAAGTATATATATATATATATATATATATATATATATATATATATATATATATATATATATATATATACGGTCAATCTTAGCATTAATCCCATATCCTTAACATTATCCCATTATTCACAATAGTAAAGCTGCTTAATCCAAGTACTAAGTCTCCCTAATCCTAGCGTGTATCCCCCCATTTTAGCCATTAATTCCCCCAAGTCTTATCATTGCCTCCATAATTCTAGCACTTTGGTCAGTGGTCGCCTCGCTAACCCCACTAAAATGTTTCCTTAATGCTCTCAATAACCTCTCTAATCCTAGTCAGATCAACTATCACCAAATGTATTATTAATCTTCTTAATACAACACCCGGGTTGGCACTAGGAAGGAGTCTTCCCTTTACCTCAGTCTTTTCTGATACAGGCTCTCCACGTCTCTCACTACCACAACTCTTTAGGCGCTGTACTGAACACACGGGTGCCCGCTCGCCTACACAGTGGCTAATTAACATAATGTATTATGCTATGGTATACTTCCTCCATATCTTCACTCATATCATAAGTCATTTATTAAAATTATGGGAATTAATTACGGAATTCCGATGGTGAGCAGAGTTAACATAAGTCAGTAAGGAGGAGACGAGCTGCAGTAACTCCTGTAAGGTCTACTGTTCAACACCCGCCACTTTCTCAAGCCAACATTACTGTCATCGTCTGCCATTTCCCACCTGCTCCCTCCTGAGCCTTGTCCAGGCTATTGCCCTAACGACTTTCATCCATCTGGATGATTGTAGGTTCATTTACCATTACTTAAAGAGAGTTGATGTAGAGCACCGGGGCATAATCACCTCCTCTACGCTTGCTATGGATAGTCTTCGATCGTCATCAAAGTGAAATGGATACCAGAGGCAGAGGCATGTTTACGAGTAACGTTATTTTTCTTCAGTTCTCAGCGGTGTACATCACGTCCCTGATGACATGTAAATTTTACTAGTCTCGTCCGCCTCTGATACCTGACAGCCGCGCCGGCTGGTGGATGACCTAACCACAGTAACAGTGTGTAGGAGTGAAGCTCTGGTGCTGCAGCATAATGATAAGTTTAACACAACAGCTGTCCATGGTAAGAGCTTTCAGATAAGTCAACTCACCACCCTCAACTTTGGATAAAACTTCACAAATATTTTTTTTTTACTGCAGGCAACTTCAAGCTGTTGTGTTAATAGTTCATGACTCAGCACACAGGAACCGTTAAGCAGCTGCTGGAAAGTGAGGAACAACATCCTACAGAATCATGTTTTATTCTTTATATTCTCCACGGGCGAGGGAAGAATCACTTGCTTTTGAAATTAAACTGCGACTCCTTGTAAATCTGCCAAAATAAATTTAGTTTTCATTGTCTTATGGAAAGAGAGTCTCCCGACCATTCCATTGCCTTTCTTTATTGAATGTGACGGCCATCAAACATTATGGTCATAAATCAAGATTTTTAAACCTCTCTCAATTTTGGTCCTGTCCATCACTGGCACACCACTCCTTTACTCTTCTCCTTTCAAAAACTTTATGGCTGCCATGAAAGACTTCGACGACTCTGCCTCCTTCTTTATGATGTCACCTACTGTTGCCCAGGAAACTTTGATAAATATCCACTCAGAAATTTCTTAGAATACGTTTCTACAGCCTTCAATAACTAAGACTTTTAAGTATGTACATTTAGATCATAATACCTTAAACATCAACTAACAAACATTAAGGAATACATCACTCTACATACACGTCAACAGGTGCTAGATTCACCACCGCATGAGGTAAAGAGGGGGAAGAGCTATGATCTCCCTTAATGATATGAATTATTGGAAAATCGCAGTCATCGACCCCTGGGAGAATAGTAATATAACACGCGCGGAGCATTACTTGCTGCCAGCTTTTTTGTGTAGTGGAGCAGGAAATACGCAAATGACACCAGGTATTAAGGAGGCTACTTCATTGTTGGCTAGGAAATTGTATTGTCCCTATTTATTATTATTGTTATTATTATTAATATTATTATTATTATTATGATTATTATTAAAATTATTATTATGATTATTATTACTACTACTACTATTACTACTACACCACTACTACTACTGCTACTATTACTACTACACCACTAACAACTACTATTACTGGTCCCGTGTCAACAGTTCCGCCACTCTGGGTTCGTCTGTTAAGTAGCCGTGACCCTCTAAGTGCCGGGAGAACCTACGAGGTGGTGTGCCAGTCTGCTGGTGCCAGGCCTCCAGCGGTCATTGAGTGGCACCTGGCACCAGGCTTACCACTCGCACTGTTAAGGTGAGTATGTTGCTTACCACTCACACTACCACTACCACTAGGTCAGATTACCACCACACTCACCTTTCCCTCAACAAAGATAAATTACCTGCCCCTCATACCAGGTCAGGTACCATAAGGTCTGGGTCACACAGCCTTACCTAGAGGGTAGCGGACGATTGAATAAATTATTCCCCGATGGATTGTTCCTTCGATTACCACAAGTTTCACTAATTAACAAAGTGAAAGCGCGATTGATTGGTGAATTCACTTGGGGTCTAATGGCCGGTGAATGACTATGTGACGAGGTAGTTGAGGAAAAGATTGTGATTGAATATCTGGGCCATTATTTTCATACGTGTGCTTAAGAGTTAAAAAATAAGGCTCCATTTTTACTTATCAACTTTTCAGATAAAATGATTCATTTGTGGGTTACCTGAAGATTATTAACCAACTCGAACGTATTTATTTCACCTGATTATTAAACACGCTGACGCTACTACCTTGGGGGATTTAGGATAAGTTATATTAGGTTAGGTTTTGTGTGTGTGTGTGTGTGTGTGTGTGTGTGTGTGTGAGTGTGTGTGTGTGTGTGTGTGTTTCTGTGTGTGTGTGTATGAGCGCGACTAAGCAGCCCTTTCGAGGAGCCTGCCTATAGAACCAATCTGACTGGGCAACTGCACCCAGTAAGGTCAATCTTATGTGGTCGAAAACACAATCATCATCACTGATCAAAGCAAAAACAAAATATACAGCCTCTTATGGTCGCAGCATGGACGGTCAGGACCCATCTGGATACTGGCCCAAAGGAGCGTCCTGAAAGAAGAACTGCCTTTGTGGCAAAAGAGCTGTCAAGGTATAGCATCGACATAGCAACCATTAGTGAGTCCCGGCTCCCAGACGAGGGTCGACTCGCAGAATGGGGTCAACTATACCTTCTACTGGAAGGGTAAGCCTGCGGCAAACCACATGTATAGATCAGTTCGAACATGGGCTGATAAACTACCCGACAACAAACAACCCATCAGTGACGAATAGGGTATTCTCGACACTGACATGACAAAACCTGCAAAGACCCTTGGCCAGATGGAAAGAATAAACCAGGACTGATTTGATGAAAATGACCCGGAAATCAAGGTACTCGTCGATGATAAACATGCTGTTTTAACTGACTGGCAGAACAGTCCTCAGTCTTGGATCAAAGCTGAAACCATCCACAGGAAGAAAGCTGGCGGCCCAGCGCGAACAACATAATCTAGAGAACAAAGGGTTGAAAAAGAAAGCACATGAAACGCAAAAAACTTGCGGATCAACACAGGATACACAAATTTTTCAATTCCACTAAAAACATTTTATGGGCCAATCACTCATGGCACAGCCCCCTCCGCTCATCCAACGGTAATTCCCTAATTAAAGACGAAGAAGGCATTCTTCAGCGCTAGAAAGAGCACTACCATTCGCTGCTCAACCGAAACACCGATGTGGATGTCCGGAATACCCAGCAGGTCCCTCAGCACCCAAAGTTGATTCACCTAAGCTATCCTCCATCTCTGGATGAGGTAACTACTACCATCAAACAAATGAAAAATAACAAAGCCTCAGGGCCTGATGGAATCCCAGCCAATGTGTATAAAGCAGGAGGACTTCAACTTACCAGCCGTCTCCACTCTCTCCTGGAGAATATATGGGAGAAGGAGGAAATCCCCCAAACTCTTGAAGACGCCTCCATTTTCAATATTTATAAGAACAAGGGAGGCCGGTTAAACTGTAGTAACTTCCACAGGATCTCGCAGCTCTCCATAGTTGGTATGATTATTGCCCAAGTCCTCATAAACAAAATTCTTCCTGAGGCTGAAGAATTCCTTGCAGAATCTCAATGTGGCTTTAAACCATCACGTGGCACCGCTGACATGATCTTTGCTGTGCCGCCATATACAGGAAATGTGCAGAGTACAGCGTTGTGACCTGTACATGGCCTTCATCGACCTTACCAAGGCCTTTGACTCGGTCTGGCAGACCCTCCATCGTTTTGGTTACCCACCAAAATTCATCGCCACTGTGAGACAATTCCACAATGGCATAAACGGCAGTTTCCTGCACAATGTCACCCAGACTGAGTTCTTCCCTATCCATACAGGGGTAAAACAAGGATGTGTACTGGCACCAACTCTCTTTTCCATTTTCTTGGCAGCCTTCCTTACTCGGACCAGTGCCAATTTGGCAGGCGGGGTGGTACCGGATGAAGGCAATTTTCAACATAAGACGACTCCAGGCAAGAACAAAGGTGTCGGCAGCTTCCATTACCGAACTTCAGTATAACGACGACTTGACCATCGTCGCTTACACTGAACGCGACCTACAGTTGACCATGAACACCTACGCTAATGTGGATGCACACTTAGGCCTTGATATGAATGTACGTAAGACTCAGATTCTCTTTCAGCCGGCACTTTGTTCAATTACACATCCACCATCCATCCAGATTAACGGTACTACCCTCTCTAATGTTAACCACTGTCAGTATCTCGCCTCCCACCTGTCCACCACCGAGGACATCGAAGAAGAAATTCAACATTGGATCAGATGTGCATCTCAAGCCTTTGGCAGACTCCGTACCCTTGTCTTCAACTGTATGGAACTGAAATTATCTACAAAATTGCACGTATATCGAACATTTGTCCTCCCTACCCTGCTATATAGCAGCCAGACATGGGTCATGAACAGGAGGCACCTCAAGGCACTTGAAACTTTCACCAATGTAGTCTATGTTCCATCCTCCTAGTTTGCTGGTAAGACAAAAGAACTAAGGCCAGTATTCTCACTAACACTAACTGTAGGAACATCGAGGCTACCATTATCCATGAACAACTACATTGGACTGGCCAAGTTACCCGTATGGATGACAGTATACTGCTAAAGCAGCTACTTTACAGTCACCTAACGAATGGTAAACTTAACCCTGGTGGGCAGCGAAAAATGTATAAGGATAGTCCTCAGACAAACCTGAAAAAGTGCCAAATCGAGTCCCTCACCTGGGAGACGATAACGAACACCGTAACGGTTGGAGGGGCACCACACGAAAAGGTGTCAATACTTTCGAGTAATCCCGACTGCATACTGAGGCAGACAAGCGCCAGCGCCAGCGCCGGAAAGATGCTTCCGCCGCCCCTCCCACACTAGATGTAACACTAGACTAGTGCCACAAACTGTGGACGGCCCTGTCGATCTCATATCGGCTTCTCGAGTCACCTCAAAGCTCACCAACGAAGGTGACATTTTAAATAACTCTGGTCATTGCATCATAGTTGGAGGATCGTCATACTCGATACCGAGTGACAGCAAAGTAGTAGTAGTAATGCATATGTGTGTGTGAGTGGGTGTGTGTAATAATAATAATAATAAAAATAAACGGTTTATTAATAGAGTTGTAGCCGGTGGCTGAAAATATACGACTTACATTTGATTTAGACATTATGATATAATATGCGTTGAATACATTTACAGGGCTGCACAGTACATAAATCAGGAGCTGTTTATTCTTTTAACAATAGATGGGATGGTGCTATTCTTATATCTATCGGTGCGGGCTCTTATGGGCTGAATTGTGTTGTAGTGGCAGACTGCGCCAGATGGGTGGGGGGCTGCCGGTGGCAGGAGGTGGCGATGACGAGGGTGGTGCATTAGTTGGCTGCCAAACCTTTCCAGTGCTTGGTGGTGGAGGTCACTGAGTGATGGCATATCCAAGGTGGAGAGAGCGTTGATGTAGCCAGAGCATTCTGCACCAAGCATGATTCTGCAGGCCCTTTTCTGTACCTTCTCCAGCCAACGTTGTTGGGTGAAGTTGAGAGAAGACGACCAGGCTGGTGATGCATACGTAAGTTTGGGGAGAATAAAGGCATTATAGATAATGCTCAGCTCTGGCGTGGGTGTTCCAAGTGACCTAAGTCGTCGTAGCATGTAGAGACGGTACGAGGCTGCCTTGACTGTGTTATTTACATGGGCCTTCCAGTCCAGGTTGCTGTCTATAGTTACACCCAGGAGTTTGGCAGACTGTACCAGCTGGAGAGGATGGGCACCCACTGTGACTGCTGGAGCTTGCATTGGAGTGGTGGTGGTAATGATGTGCATGACTACAGTTTTGGTGTGGTTGATGGTGACCTTGTTCTCCGAAGTCCATGCCTGTAGTCTGTCCAGGGTGCTTTGTGGCGATGAGTAGTCTGGTGAGGTGTTGTCCACTGAAACCCCCACAGTGCAGTCATCCACGTACTTCCACCTGTGAGGAGTGTCCGATAGAGCGTCGTTGATCAGGATGAGGAAGCACAGTGGTCCCATCTTGGTCCCCTGGGGAACACGGCAGGTGAGGTGTTGGAATGTGGAGACCGAGCCCTGATACCTCACAACCTGACGACGTCCACTCAAGAAATCAGTGAGCCATGAGACCAGGTTGGTGGGCAGCCCTAGTGCAATGGCCTTGTTGATAACAGTGCAGTGATCAACAAGGTCAAAGGCCTTCCTGAAGTCATCAAGGGCAACGGCCAGTGATGTCTTACGTTTCTGTAGGTTTCTGCAGGTCCTCATATTGCCAAATTGCTGTGGATCAATTGACTGATAGATTCTGGCAAATGCCCACTCAAAAAGAAAGTCCTCACACAGTATACTGGGTAGGTGGTAATGGCAACTGGTCTGAGGTCGTTAGAGTACTGTGGGGTGGTGACCTTGGGGATGGGGGTGACAAAAGCGGTTTTCCATTCATTAGGGCATTTGCTTTGTCTGAGGGATGCATTAATAATAGTACAAAGGGGGGTGGCAAGTTCGACTGCAAACTCCTTGTATGCTTTGATTGGGAGGTCACTTGGGGGCGTGGAGCGTTTGGATTTGAATTTCAGGAGTTTGTTGGCGACTTCGTATGGTTAAACACTGGGAAGGGGGGTGGGAGGGGAAGGTAAGTAAGCCGGGAGGAGAATGAGGTCAAGACTGGGTAAGGTATGACATATGGTAGCAAAGTGGTTATTAATTATCTCAGCTGCCTCCTCACTAGGTAACTGTGAGATGAAAGGAAGTGTAGGAGACTGACGGTTGAGACCCCAGAGATCTTTTACCTTGGAGTACCACTGACCGATGCCGACTTCCTTGAGGCCGTGCACTTTCCTGGGATAATAAGCGTGTGTGTGTGTGTGTGTGTGTGTGTTTTTAATTTTCACAAAGTAATGACCTTGTTTTTCTTCCCTCGCTTGTGTTCGTGTGTTAGCTAAGCCACGAGGGTAATGTGACCAAGAGTGAGCTTCTTCTGACGCCTGAAGTGGATGACGGAGGCAAAGTGTTGTCCTGTCTGGCTGAGTCCCCGGCTCTTACCTTACACCCGCTGGTCGACGAATGGCTCCTTGAAGTTTGCTGTGAGTACCCGTGATTACTGCTCTCTCTCTCTCTCTCTCTCTCTCTCTCTCTCTCTCTCCAAATTAATTAACTCTTTTTAATATTCAGTGCAATGCAATTACAATTATTTTATGTGTAATTCAACTAATTGCAGGTAATATGCTTTCTGCCTAATGGAAATAGTCACTAAAAACCTTTAATAATTTTCTGTAACTTTTTATATTTTTCTCTGCGGTAAGAATGGTTAGGTTAGGTTAAGTTAGGTTATGTTAGGTTAGGTTAGGTTAGGTTAGGTTAGGTTAGGTTTCTCCTGTCTTGAAAGTCTATCTATAAAATGCAAAAGATGTAATTACAAGCAAATTTTCTTTGACACAACTTTTCGAAACTGCATCAATCTCAAATGAGACATCACAGAGGGCTTCCACGGCTAGGCGAGAAGGTTCGGAGACTCGTTCCAGCAGTTCACGGGCTCATTCCAGATGTTCCGATACTCGTTCCTGCAATTTGAAGATTTGTTTAAGTGGTCCGTAGATTTGAGCCACCAGTTCAAAGATCTGTTTCATATCTTCGAAGACTCGTTTCAACAGTTCAAAAATTCGTTCCGGGCATGTAAAGTGACTTTTGATCATAAAGGTGCACGACATTGTGGTCCTTGACGCCAGAAAGACAGAAAAGCTCATTTTAATAGCCAGAGAAAGTTACGACCAAAAGTTATGCCATAATGAACCGTCCACGCAGCCTCCCCGTTGACTTCCCAAGGGATGGAGCCAAATTTTTGATGTGTTATAAGTAGAAGTAACTGTTGCGCATCATATGTGTTGATAGTTATGTGTAGAAGTAACTGATGTGCATCATATGTGTTGATAGTTATGTGTGGTAATTTGCATTATATGCGATGGTTTCATTTATATACGTTTTTTATTAGCATCATATACTTTGGTTTCGTTCATGTGTGTTGCGTTGAATTATATGAGTCTGTATTACGTTGTTCTCTGTCACATGTTGGTTTCCATCTTATATATCTTTTTACCACATGTGTGTGTGTGTGTGTGAGTGTGCACCAGGCTCGTCTGTATGAACCACATGTGTCTGTGTGTTTCATATGTGTTCTGTTTCATGTGTGTGTGTGTGTGTGTGTGTCTGTAGCATATTTATCTGTCTACATCATTCATGTCAATGCAGAGTAAGTTGTATAATGAAAGGCATCCGTCTGTTTGCTCAGTCGGTTGTGTCATTATCCATTATGATGTATCTCATTGTTTACACATTTGCACAGGTGATAAAATGTCTCTAACATACAGCATGTGTCGCATCACGTAGGCTCAACACAGCACTGCCTCTTATATAAAATTTCCTTCATAGTACATTATTATCTGCAAACTTTTCCTCCAATCGGCCAAGCGTCGTAAATCGGCCACTTTAAAATACTGCCACATGTTGTCTGCCCCAATTTTTTAAACTATAGCCATACTGTATATCTCCAGCTTATCAGAGTGGAGAAGTGATACGGTCAAGAGGAATTACGCTTAGCTGGCTAAATTGAATCACAACACTATCATGAAGAATTGTACATACAGTAGATACCAGGAAATGTTTTATTGTGGAATTTAATCTTTTGGATAGCGTCATGGCGAACTGTAATTGAACAAAAAGTAATTCAGATTTTCTTTTATGGCTTTTTCTTTTTTACGGGGATTAGCCCACCCGGGTACAGGTCAATGACCCACATTAGGGCCTGGGGGGTGAAAATATAATAATAATAATAATAATAATAATAATAATAATAATAATAATAATAATAATAATAATAATAATAATAATAATAATAATAATAATAACAATAATAATAATAATAATATTGGATAATAATAATAATAATAATAATAATAATAATAATAATAATAATAATAATAATAATAATAATATTGATAATAATAATAATAATAATAATAATAATAATAATAATAATAATAATAATAATAATAATAATAATAATAATAATAATAATAATAATAAAATAATAATAATAATAATAATAATAATAATAATAATAATAATAATAATAATAATAATAATAATAACTATTATTATTATAATAATTCATAAAAAATATTAACAAAACACTAAAAATAAAAATATAATACTAAAAAAAATAATAATAACCATAAATAAATATAAAACGAAAAAATAAATCAAGAATGAGAAACGATATACATTATGTATGTTGTGTTGTCAAAGTAAGAGAAACAATTGAGACCCTGCAATTGGGTGTAAATGAGGCAGAAAGTCAGATCAGCAAACTGGGACTTGGTCACATATAGCAGCAGGGTCTACCATTAGACAACACATTATGCTTCCATTATCTTGCCAGGCGGTAGTACCTCCCTGTTCCATAGCTGCCTACTACCTACTACCTAAAAGACCATTTATATACTAAAAAAGTATGTTGTTATTTAGAATTTAGATGTTAGTGATATGCTCATGAAGAACTATGAAATGGATATAGATAAATTGATGAGTTATGGAATTATTTCGATTCATATAAAGAAGATTGGGAATGTTATCGAGAAATCTAATCGCAGGTAATAAAGAAAATAGATAAGAGTTTGTGAAAGAGGAAGCTTGGTGTCACCTTTTAACAGAACTGTTTAAGCTAGTGGGATAAGCTGTTTAGTCGCGTCGTTTATGACCGCTAAAGTAAGTTGGTCCCACTCGAGCCGTTTAAGCGTACACCTGCCTGAGGAGATGCTTACCAGTGCCGTTTACACCTACTACAGTAATTTACCTGTACTATTTAAACCCATTAATATAACTTACCTGTACCGTCTACACCCACTACAATAACTTAATGGAAACGTCTACACCCTCTACAATAACTTACCTGTACCATCTACACCACTACAATAAATTAGCTGTGCCGTCTACACCCACTACAATAACTTACTGGTACCGTCTACACCCTTTACAATAACTTACTTGTATCGTCTACACCCACAACAGTAACTTACCTGTACTGTCTACACCCACTACAATAACTTACCTGTACCGTCTACACCCACAACAGTAACTTACCTGTACCGTCTACACCCACAACAGTAACTTACCTGCACTGTCTACACCCACAACAGTAACTTACCTGTGCCGTCTACACCCACAACAGTAATTTACCTGTACCGTTTACACCCACTACAATAACTTACCTGTACCGTCTACACCCACAACAGTAACTTACCTGTACCGTCTATACCCACAACAGTAACTTACCTGGACCATCTACACCCACAACATTAACTTACCTGTACCGTCTACACCCACTACAATAACTTACCTGTACCGTCTACACCCACTACAATAACTTACCTGTACCGTCTACACCCACTACAATAATTTACCTGTACCGTTCTACTCTCCCAGATGTACCTGTGGCCACCCTCCACCCGGGTCGATCTCTCAACCTCAGCAACATTGAGGAAAGAGATGACGTGTACTTCGAGTGTTCCATTAAGGCCAATCCATGGGTGTACAAGATAGTCTGGCTACACGAGGTAAGTTATCATGCAAGTTGTCTTAGGTATACAAGATAATCTAACTATATCAAGTATATAAGTTATCTTTATCCCACTCAGAATGATCTTACATTTGACATATTGTCTTTTTTTCTCCAATTTCTTATTCCAGTCTTGTTATGCTGGATACTAATTCCGTCTTTACCAGGGAAATTATCTTTATTATAACGATAAATACATAGAACATATCCTGTATATGCAAATTTATTGTTCTTCCTTAATACAAACCTTAAAAAAAAAATCTTAAGCTCATCCAATTACTTAGTTGTGTGAATTAGGGAGTAATTATTACACTTCAATATCAATTTATATACTTATTTAAAACACAACAGCGTTCATTTCATAGATATTATGGACCCAGAGCAAACATTACATGATTCACGTTCGACACCAAAATTTTAGTTAACTTTTCCTAATTATTATTTTCCATTAACAAATTATCTAGCTATTAAATTATTGAGTTTAGATATTAATATATATAATAATAACGGTTGCCCCTCGTGTAACGAGGATGGCCAGCTGAGGGGCCACCTAGGCGTGAATTTGTTTAAGGTGTATAGCTGTCGCCAACACAACAACCACACCCTAATTTAACGAGCTGTATGACCTAGTGTCAAGGAATAGTCCGAGAAGACCAGACAACTCGCCAGCTGCACTGGCTAACCATTACCCAGGAACATGATCCGCGAATCGTTTAACATCCGGGTCCCCAATTACTGCTGGGTAGACAGAGGCAATTGGCGTAAAGAAACTTGCCTTTTTGTTTCACCCTGCTCGGGGATCGAACCCGGATCCGCTCGCTTGCAAAGCGAGCATGCTGACCATTACACCACAGGGGATGAACAGTTTTATGTTTAAATCATTTATATTAAAAAATTATCTGAGTAATGTACAGTAATGCATGATACACTACACCCTGACCTGATACATTACACCCTGACATGATACACTACACCCTGACATGATACACTACACCCTGACATGATACACTATGCAGCACAACTTAGTCCTCAATATTTATCACTTAAAATTTAATATTACTTCATTACACGACAAACAATGTTAAATTAAAAAGTTACAAGCACAAATAATTACGAAATTGTGCATCATGGGATCAACGAAAGTCCTCTTACTTTATCACAACAGTTCAGGAGTGAAGGTTTGGAATTATACACGTCACGAAAGATTTAAATAAAATTTAATAATAAAAGTTTACCATAATAAGAGTGCAGGTTACATAATGAACGGATAAATTAAATCAAGAGAATAAAGAATGAACATAATCCTTAATAAACCACTAATATATTCACAGTAAATAAATCAAAACTGCTTTACCACACTTCCGTTGATTGCACTTTACACAAAATAAATAATAATAGAGCAGCACTGAATAGATAATACTCAACTAAACCCTATTTCAAAAGGTATACATCACTGACAAACACAGACGTGCTTCCACCTCCAAGGCAGCCAATGACTGACGATTTGACAAATTGTATGCCATGGAACTACAAGCCTAACAGCACTAATATTAAACAACTCCCACATTCAGCTGCAAAATAGTTAAACATTCATACATACATACATACATATTTTTTTTGGTATCAAGTACCAGCCCTGCTCACACATAATTAAACAAAATATTATACGTACAGTCACGTTCAAGATTCTTCGAACACTGCTGGAGACAGCTGGCAACTCAAGGCCGTTTGTTTACTATACCACGTAGTAATAATTATGAGTGAATGTAAAAGTATTCGGTGATTGGTTACTTAGTTCCCCGTTGCTTAATTAATAAAATAAATAAAATTATAATTACTAAGTAAAAATCGGTAAGTATGTTAAAGAACATCATGCATCGGGCACAGCTGTGTGCAGGCTGTTTATGAGGTTGCCTGTTTATCATTAATTTATACTAATATTGTCTTCAAACGTTTAATCCCTTTTGGGTAATTAATCCAGTTGTACTAAACCGATGCTAAACAAAACTTCTTTCTAAAGACGCTGATTTCTTACAACACAAACTGCTGTTTTACTTACCTGTGTGTGCGTGTGCACATGTGGGGTGTGCGTGTGTGCGCATATGGAGTGTGTGTGTGTGTGTGTGTATCAGTCTGTGTCTGTATTTAATAATGACGCTGTTCAATTGAAGGTGATGGTAATTAATCTTACGAACCATCCGTCTGATGGTGTGAATTAGTACTGTAGCATATGCCTAATACTTTTACAAGCCATTATCTAGCAATATCATTGTCATTCCAAGACTATGAATATTGTAAACAGCAAATGGCATTTCTTTCGTTGAGTGACTCTTCCCCCCTCCCCCCAAATCCTTGTTTCTGACTTGTGTCGATTACGTCACGTTTAGTCTGGTGTCTTTAAAAAAGAATATTAATTTTTTTTCCAAAAATGTGTATGATGTATTATAAATTTGTATCTTATTTATTTATTTATTCGTTTATCTTTTATAAATGCATAATAAATATAAATATAACGCTGACGTTATTGGCGGGAAGGTGGGGTAGACAGGTGTTGTCAGTGCTGACTACCCTTCCACTCTCTCAATTGTAGAAGGACCCTGCCAACATGGAATACCACACGCAGGAAATTACTGAACGTGGAAGAATAATCGGCATGAAAGAGGCTGGGTCTTCACCCACTGAAATTGCGCGAGAATTGGGTTAAGCGATGGGAAGAGGAGGGAAGTTTAAAGGACCACCACATGGCGGGAATGCCGCGCAGAACAACACTTGCACAAGTTGAAGCCATCCGGAATTTCGCTGAGGCCAACCCCTACAAGACTTCATTTTCAATAAGAGAGGATCTACAATTAAATATTTCCCCTTTAACAATCAGGCGAAGATTTCACGAAGAAGGCATTCACCATAGAACTCCTGCCACCAAGGATAAGTTAAATGAGCGACATCGCGAGGGCAGGTTGCAGTTTGCTCGACGGTATGCTCAAGAAGGCTTAGATTTTTGGGGAAGAGTAATATTCACTGAGGAAAAACTTTCTCATCTACCTCTCACGGAAGGTTACATTGCTGGAGGAGGAACAACACCCGATATGCTAGACAGCATATTTATGAGGAAGCAAGAAGTGGCAATGTGACTTGCAATGTTTGGGGTTGAATATATTTGCACGGAGTTGGAGAGCTGACTGACATAGAAGGAATATTCACAGCAAAACAGTATTTAGAAATACTCGAAGAAGTTATGCTTCCCTCGGTGCGTGCATATGCTTTCCCGTTTCCCGAAAACATCATTTTCATGCGCAATAGGTGTCCTATCCATACCGCACGGATTGTAACGCGGTGGTTTGCAGAACAAAGAAATGTGCAAGTTTTAGACTGGCCAAGTAAAGGTTGTGACATGAACCCTATAGAGAACGTTTGGGGAAATATTGTGAACGTGTGGGAGCCAGCTGAAGAGAGATCCAGGGTGCAGCTACAGGAGCATACACACCGTGAGTGGGAGGTCCTGAGGCGGACACCGCAACTGATACACAATCACGTCGCCTCCGTTCCCAACAGGCTGCAGCAAGTAATCGAGAATGAAGGTAGCTGGACTAAATATCAATACTTACCGATTTTTACTTATGTTTATTTATCTAAATATTTATTCATATAGGTTGGCTCATTGCTCTATCAATTTTAAAATCAAATTAACAGTATATACTAGCAGAAATGCATAATATAATGCGAAACAACAAAGCCCAACCATTAATTAAGCAACGGGGATTTAAGTAACCAATCACCGATCACTTTTACATTCATTCATAATTTTTACTACGTAGTATAGTAAACAAACGGCCTTGAGTTGCCAGTTGTCTCCAGCAGTGTTCGAAGAATCTTGAACGTGACTGTACATAAGTTGAGGTTAACGAGCCTAAAAATATTTCACTTTGCACACCGCAAAGCACCACTGTACATTCGCCATGCATAACATGATACACTACACCTTGGCATGATGCACTACGCCTTGACATGTTACTATACACTACACCCTGACATGATACTATACACTTTACCCTGACACGATATACTACACAATGACATGATATACTACACCTTGGTATGATACACTACACCCTGACATGATACACTACACCCTGACATGATATACTACACCTTGGTATGATACACTATACCCTGACATGATACACTACACCTTGACATGATACACTGCACCCTGACATGATATACAAAACCTTGGTATGATGCACTACACCCTAACATGATATACAAAACCTTGGTATGATACACTACACCCTAACATGATATACTAAACCTTGGTATGACACACTACACCCTAACATGATATACTAAACCTTGGTATGATACACTACACCCTGACATGATACACTACACCCTGACATGATACACTACACCCTGACATGATATACTAAACCTTGGTATGATACACTATACCCTGACATGATATACAAAACCTTGGTATGACACACTACACCCTAACATGATATACTAAACCTTGGTATGATACACTACACCCTAACATGATATACTAAACCTTGGTATGATACACTACACCCTGACATGATATACTACACCTTGGTATGATACACTATACCCTGACATGATACACTACACCCTGACATGATACACTACACCCTGACATGATATACTACACCTTGGTATGATACACTACACCCTGACATGATACACTACACCCTGACATGATATACCACACCTTGGTATGATACACTATACCCTGACATGATACACTACACCCTGACATGATACACTACACCCTGACATGATACACTACACCCTGACATGATATACTACACCTTGGTATGATACACTACACCCTAACATGATATACTAAACCTTGGTATGATACACTACACCCTGACATGATATAATAATAATAATAATAATAATAATTAACGGTTTATTGAAAGAGCTTGGCAGCCAGAAGGCTGAAAATATACAGTTACATATTTGGGGAATGGGTTA